CGCTGTTTTATTTTACATGTGCCATCGTGGTTTCTCTAGCACGAGGAAATGAAGTGTGCTCAGGCAGGGAGCTGTGAATTCAGAGGGTGATGTATTTCCCACCAGTGCCTCAATAAAATGTAAAGGTAGGGTGGAGTCTTTCCAGTGATGCCAGCCAGAGTTATATCAGGCCCCAAATAAGACAGAATGGGTGGCTTGCATTCCATTCTGGTGCCTTCCGTGAAAAAAATTCATTACAAACAAATACTGACTTTTTATGCCTCCTGGTTGGGAATAAAACCTCCTAAGTGGGATCCTTAACTAAAGCTGCTGAGCATCCATGTCCCCGTGGCATTGTCCTCTGTGGCAGCAGAGATCCTGTTCTAATTGCTGGGGAGAAAACCTGAGTTTCTGGAACCAAGCAGTTAGAAAAATAAACTTAAATTGAGAGGTTAGTCACCAGAAAGTGGAAACCATGTCTGGAATTGTTAGAAATAAGACTTGCTTGAAAATAAATATAGAATTATTCACCATGGTAACTATTGCCCTATTGCGTTAGTGCGTATCGATTTAACATTAATCCGAAGACTAATGCTGTGAAATATTTGGACTCTTTAATGGACAACTGTTTAGTTAACAAAGCTTTTGGGAGTTGTGGAGTTCTTTTTGTTTTGTTTTTCCTTGGGTTGTCTTGAACACCGTTTGACTCTTAAGGTTACTTATTTCTCAGATGGATCTTGCTTTTCCATTACATTTTATGAATTTATCCATAGCGCTGCACTGTAATGATCTCAGTGATGCTGGAGTGTTGCAGTGAGGAATAAAAGGAAATATTTAAATGTGTCTGTACAGGCAAATGCCTGGCTTCTAGTCTGGCTTTGAGCGAAATTACGTTACAATCCCTGACTAGCCATGGCAGCCTGATGTGCCCACGTCCTTCATTTTGTCCAAGGATCCCCGATGGTCTCGGAGCTCCTGTGTGTCCCTTTCCATGGCTGCAGAGCCCGAGGCCCAGGGAGCAAACTTGGCTTTCTCTGAAATTTTACAGCAAACCCAGGAAGCGAAGGGAGATCTCGCAGTTCCAGACTCATCCCGGAGCCGTCTGAGGTGTCTCCAGGGAAAACATAAAAAGAAGTGGAAAAAAGCTGATCAGTGACAACACAGGAGCCAAAATCAACAACAGTGTGTTCTGGAAATGTCCCACAGATGAGCAGCACTCGCTGCTGGGACAGAAGCTCTGACAAATGCATTGGGCTGCAGGCTGGATGGTGTCACTACAAAGAACAGGGTGAAGCATTTAAGTTAGTTGATGTACTTTTAATTTTTACAAGCCCATCTGGGATGACTTTAATTATTTGTTCTTAGATCATGGTGGAAAAATGCTGATTATTCTTAAAGCCACATGAGTCGTTCAGATGAAATGGAGATGGTGGTAAACAGCATTTTTTAAACCAGCGTTGACTTGCAAACAGTTATTTTTTCTTTATTTTTAAAGAAGGTTGGGAAGATGTGTGAACTTGCAGCAGCCTGCACCTGAATCGGGAGCCTTTATCCAGCAGAGCTTTGTGAACTTGTAAAAACTCCCCCTAGAACAAGCTGATTCATGGGGTGAGGGCAGGAGCCTCCCCCCGCTGGAGCTGCCTCTGCCACAGCTCCAGGGCAGCCTGGGCACGGGGTGCTGGCAGTGCCATTGCTCAGGCACCCCATCTCCTGTCCCTGTGCCCAGGGGTGATGCCTTTTGGATGGCAAAGCCTTTTGGAAGGCAAAGCTGTGCCTGCTGCAGCAGAAATTGCAGAGAATGACCCTCCACTCAAGGAACTGACCTGCCTCAGAAGAACAATCCATTACTTGGAGCTGCATTCACCCTCTTGAGACTGTTTAAGGGTGTTCCAACTGTCTTAAAATCCAAGAATTCTGCATCCAACGTGAACTGTGGCCACATCCACATGGCTGAAGAGCTCAGAGGGCTCGGCAGCGGTGGCAGGGCTGGTGCTGCCAGCTGGGACCTCACATGACACGGGGACACGTGCAGTCCTCACCTTGGCTTATTTATGGCAGTGCTATGTGTTTTAAGTGCAAAGGATGTTAGCTGCAAGCTGGTAGGCTCAGATAAGCTTCCAGCCACCTTTTCTGGCCAGTCAAGAAAGGTCCTTTGGAAGAGCGTCGCTAATGTTCAACCACCAAGTGTTTTAAATGTAATATAAAGATATATTTCCAGATAAATAATAAAAGTAGGTTGATTGATAAAGCATATCAGAACTGGATTTTGTCTTAAGAATTTTGACCCTGTGAGTGTCTGGCTTTTAACTTTCTTGATGTCCTTTCTGGGGCTAGTGGGCCCAGTATCCCTGTAACAGGGGTAATGTTTCTTCCTTTGCATTTTCACAAAGCATTTCTAAAAATCTCACTGCCACAAAATAAATTGAGCCCCGGAAATAACCTGAAGGAATCACGATTACCCCTCCTGTGTTACTGATGAGGAAACCGAGGCAGGAAACAAAATATAAAATAGGATTGGAAATGCTTTATCTCCAGCTCTAGCACAGATTTTTTTCATGCAATTGCCCCTAATCTCCCAGCACACCAATTCCCACCTCTGCTGCCACCCTAGCACCTTCCCCTGCCTTTGGGAATGACACTTGTTGGATAATTCACGTGTTTTCAGTGCTGGGGAGCACAAACTTCTCCAAGCTTGTTTCTGTCTGAGCCACACGATCCTCTTCCGTGTTTCCTTTGGATTAGTAATTGTTGGGAGTTACCATCTGTCGAGTGGCAAAGAGTAAAAGATTAAACAACCCAGCAATTCCTTGTTCCTTCTCTCCAGCCATTTTCACAGGACTGGATGGGGCTGCACGAGTAAAGTGCGGGTGGGTATTTAACATTAGTTTGTAGTAGTCATGTAGAACTAAATTCCTTTTCTGGGCAGGGAAATAAAGGTTAAACCTTACCAATGAGTGTCACTGTCCCTACCCCAAATATTGAGACCATCCATCTTCTGTGATTGCTTCAGCTTTGTAGGAATAGGATTTCTGCTGGTTGGTCGCCAGTCCTCGCCTCGGTGCATCTTCCAACAGCATCTCTGGGAAATGCAGGCCCGGCTGGGGATGCCTCAGATACTCCCAAATTCTAAATCAGAGCTATCAACAGTTACAGGGAAATGTGCTTTCTTAGAAGATAACTGAAGCTGCCTTTATCTCCCAGTAACAGGATTCACCAAGTATTATAGCAGCTACTTCGCACCACTGTAGTTAAGCTTGTTTCAGCATTTTCATTATAAACCTTTGTTTTCACAGGTTTATTTCCCAGAAAAAAAAAAAAATCTGTCTCATCTAAACCTTGGCACAATGAGCCCTTAGGGAAGAGATGTTTGTTTTTCCTTTTACCTGTCTTGCAGTGAATGGGGTCACTCCATTTTACAGTGTGTGGTTTGAAACAAAAGTGGAAATAGTTCCTGAGCTCTAAGCAGCACCACTGGCACTACCATGGGAGCTAATGGGAATTTTCACTGAGCTCAGCCATGGCCAGACTGGCCCTTACAGGTTTATCCCCCACATCTCTTTTCTAATTTTTGATATTTTTCTGTCTGAAATGCTGAACTGGGGACTGCCTGTGTAGGGCCCCCACAGCTGGGTGGGTGTTGTGGGGTGAGCCTGACTTTTGGGTGCTTTTCCAGCAGGATACACAAATCCTGGTGCTTTTGGAACTGATCTGCAAAGCTCTGCCAGGTCCTGCTGGAGGCTGGGAGCTGGGGGTGCCACTGGCCCCACCTGGGTGGGCTCAGTGCAGGTGGTACTTTAAAAATCCACTGCGGGTGGGTGGGTGCAGTAGTGACTGGAGCATCCCTGTCAAGGAAAGGCTGGGAGAGCAGGGCCTGTTTGGACTTACGGGATGACTGGGAAGGGACCTCATCAATATGTGTACATATCCAAAGGAAGGATGCCAAGAAGATGGACCAGGCTCTGCTCCGTGCTGTTGAGCAATAGGACAAGAGGCTACAAAACTGATGGCCAGGAATTTCCACCAGAACATGAGGAAAAACTTTGTTTCTGTGCTGGTGAAGGAACACTGAACAGATTGCCCGGCGAGGGTGTGGAGTCTCCCTCTCTGGAGATATTCCAGAAGGCGTCTGGACACAATCCTGTGCCCTGTGCTCGGGGATGACCCTGCCTGAGGGGAAGGGAAGGGAAGGGAAGGGAAGGGAAGGGAAGGGAAGGGAAGGGAAGGGGCGGGGAGGGGAAGGGAAGGGAAGGGAAGGGAAGGGAAGGGAAGGGAAGGGAAGGGAAGGGG